GTCTATGGTTTGGCAGGCAGATGGCACCCTCGTGTGAGTTTGAAAGGGGCACTCCTTACCCCAAATGGATGCAGCCCCACTAGCACACGCCCTGGGGAGGAGAGCCCAGCAGGATTTCAGCCTCTCAGCCAGACCCCTTTGTGCAGTGCACGACCTGCCCAACCCTACATGGCAGCCCTCAATGAATGAAGGAATCCACAGCGCTGCATGCATGTGCCACTTCCGGAAGGGATGTGTCTCTGTGTGGGGGACAAAGGCATCCATGCTGTACAGGTCACAGTGCTCAGAGACCTGAGTTCAAAGCCCAGTCCCACTCTTTGGGCACCTTAGGGCTCAGGCAAACGATGGGACCTCTTGGAACCTCAGAGTCCTCATCTGAAATGAGTGTGTCAATACACATATATGTGGCCCACAGAGATGACAGCTAGGAAAGTTGCAAAGCAAATGAGGAAATGGGAGCATGTCTGGGGCTGCTGTTACTACTAGGACAGGGAGGCTGGCTGAAATGGCATGCCAGGGACACCCTGAAGGAAGAGAGAAAGGAGGCAGGTCAGACCAGGATCTGGTCTTCCCAGAGGAAGGAAACAGCAGGTGCACAGGCAGGAAGGTGGAGTGTCCTGAGCATGAACTTGGAAGGTATGAAGGGAAAAGGAAAGGATGAGAAGAGGAGCTCCTGACAGAGTTGGGGTTTTATTCCAGGTGTGACAACAGGGAACCAGAGTGTGGACAGGGGAGTGGTTGATGCCATTTGAACTGTTTCCTTTTTTTTTTTTTTGAAATGGAGTCTCACTTTGTCACCCAGGCTGGAGTGCAGTGGTGCGATCTCAGCTCACTGCAACCTCAGCCTCCCGAGTTCAAGCAATTCTCCTGCCTCAGCTTCCCGAGTAGCTGGAATTACAGGCGCCCGGCTAATTTTTGTATTTTTAGTAGTGACAGGGTTTCACCATGTTTGCCAGGCTGGTCTTGAACTCCTGACCTCGAGTGATCCGCCTGTCTCGGTCTCCCAAAGTACTGGGATTACAGGCGTGAGCCACCATGCCAGTCCCTATTACCTTTTTAATTGTGGGAAATACATCATTTAACCATTCTCCAAGTGTCTGATTCGGTGGCATTAGCATATCTCTGAGGGTGTGCAGCCATGGCCATTATCTAGTTCCAGGGGTGTTTTCCTCACCACACGAGGAAGACTGGCACCCATGAGTGGTCACTTCCATCCCCCTGTCCCCAGCTCCGGGCAATTATTAATCGGCTTTCTGTCTCTGTGGATTTGACTATTGTGATATTTCATATTAGTGAAATCATACACTAAGTGAGCTTTATGGCTGGACTTTTCCACTGAACATCATGTCTTCAAGGTTCATGCATGCTGTGATTTGTATCTCAGCTTTTGGTACCTGTCACGGTTTGTTGGGCACTTGCATTGTTTCCAGTGTTTGGCTGTCGTGCAAGGTGCTGTCATGAACATTCAAGGATAAGTTTTTGTGTGGACACATGTTTTGAATTCTTTGGGGTAGACACGGCAGAGTGGAAGTGCATGGTAATTCTAGATAACTTTGTTTTATTGTTTGTTTGCTTGTTTGTTTGTTTGTTTGTTTTTGAGACGGAGTCTCATTCTGTTGCCCAGGCTGGAGTGCAATGGCATAATCTCAGCTCACTGCAACCTCCACTTCCCGAGTTCAAGAGATTCTCCTGCCTCAGCCTCGTGAGTAGCTGGGACTACAGGTGCACGCCACCATGCCCAGCTCATTTTATTTTCTTTTTTTTCTTTTTTTCTTTTTTTTTTTTTTTTTTGTATTTTTAGTAGAGACGGGGTTTTGTCATATTGGCCAGGCTGGTCTTGAACTCCTGACCTCAAGTGATCCACCCGCCTTGGCCTCCCAAAGTGCTGGGATTACAGGTGTGAGCCACCGCGCCTGGCCCAATTCTAGTTAACTTTTTAAGGAAGCACCAAACTGTCTCCCACAGTGTGGGTCAAGCCATTTCTAAGACTCCCATTAAACATCCAAGTGGACATGTCCAGTGGGCAGTGGGGTATTCTAGCACCGAGTCAGGGGAAGGGTCCAAGCTGGAGCTGAGAAGGAAAGCTGAGGCCCCATGCAGGACGGCGATGGAGCTCACTGAGGCTCTGGAAGGTTCACCTCCCAACCCTCTGCCCATCCCCACCAGCAGCAATGTTGCCGACAGCGGCGTGGTCCCTAGACACACACGATGGAAAGAGACGTATAATAGAAAATAACACCGAGGGATATGTATTGACTCAATCCCATCCACCCCCTCCATCCCTTTATGCTGCTTTCATTTCTTTACGGCTTCCTTCATCGTTCCTTTATATTTCTTCACAATTGGCGTCAACATGTGTCCCATTCATTTGTGTCCATCTGCTGACTGTCCCCCCTCACTAGCACGTAAACCCCCGTAAAGGCAGGAACACTGTGGGCTTATTCACTGCTGCATCCTCAGCCCAGGGAGGCTGTTCAGGAGACATTTATTGAATGAAGATGTGCAGAACGAATGCACATCCTGCGCATCATGCCGGCTCCTGGGAAGCTCTATGGCAGCCTCTCGGCAGCTCGCTCAGGGCAGGCGCTGTTCAGATCAGGTTCTCGCAGACAGGAAACGTAAGACTCCGGGGGTAGTCACCCCAGACCCCTAGGTTGTTCCTCCTGCAGGTAGAGCGCAGATGTTTCCTTCTCACCAGGCATCCTTCCCACCCCTATCATCCCTCTAGGTCCACGGGGGTGGGGGGGCGTGTCTGGGACTTGGCTGGACTGTTGCCATAGAAACAGCTGGAAGACCTGCCCACCACCACCACCACTACCACCACCAACTCCCACCTCTCTTCTCCATCACCTTTTCTCTTTTTAGACAGGGTCTCACTCTGTCAACCCAGGCTGGAGTGTGGTGGTGCAGTCACAGCTCCCTGCAGCCTTGATCTCTGGGGCTCGTTATCCTCCCACCTCAGCCTCCTGAGTAGCTGGGACTATAGGTGCGCACCACCACCCGCGGCTCGTTTTTTATTTTTTATTATTTTATTTTATTTTTTGTAAAGACAGGGTTTTGCTGTGTTGGCGAGGCTGGCTGGTCTCCTGCTTGAGCGATCTGCCCACCTTGGCCTCCCAAAGTGCTGGGATTTACAGGCGTGAGCCACCGCACCCGGACGACCCTTTCTCAGCCTGTATCTCCCTTCTGAAATAGTTAGCAGCAGCAGCACACACTTTCTTATTTCACCTGCAGTATGCCAGGCACTGTTCTAAGCTCTTTACACATATTTACTCAGCTCATCCTCCTGACCATTCAGAGATAACCATCCTCATCCCCATTTTACAGATGGGGGAGCTGGGGCACAGGTAACTTAGATAAGAACCTGTCAGTGTCAGGCAGCCGGCAGGAGGTCCAGCCGGGTGATGAACCACCCTGCTGTGGTTGTGGTTCAGCTGTGGACAGAGACACTTCAAACCTGACGCCATAAGCATGGTGTGTGTGCATGTGCGTGTGCCTGTGTGAGAGAGGAACGAGACAGAGAGAGAGAGAGAGAGAGAGAGAGAGAGAGAGAGAGAGCACGCGAGAGAGCACCTGAGATCCGTTGATTACCAGATCTAAATAAAGGAGAGAAATTGGCATTTGGGGGCACTGAGGACAATATGGGTGTAGGTCAGTGGTTCTCCACGGGGGCCTCCTCGAAACAGGTGGACTTTCGGTAATGCCTGGAAGCATCTTACATTGTCACAACTCGGGGGAATGTGGTGCTTCTGGCGTGGAGAGGGCGCTGCTAAACATCCTACAGTGCTCAGGACAGGCTCTCACCACAAAGCAGCATCGGTCCCCGAATGTCAGTGCTGATAAACCGTGCACTGCCTCTTTCCACTTGCCTGGTCTATAAACTCAAATTCTCAACTTCTCTCTCTCCTCCTCCCTCCCTCTCCTCCCCCTTCTCCTCCTCCCCTTCTTTTCTCCCTCCTTCCTCATCTCCCTGACTCCTCCTTTCCCACCCACCCCTCATCTGTCTCCCTTCCTTCCCTCCCCGGCCCCCACTCCCCTCGACACCCTCCCTTCCCCTCCCCTCCCCTCCCTTCCCCTCGCCACCCTCCCCTCTCCTCCCTGCGCCTCCCTTCGGCTGCCTCCCCTGCCCTCTCCTCTTCTCCGCCCCCGTTTCTTCTCCTTACATCGCGCCTCGCCTCGCTTCTCGTCCTAATGTCTGCACACCCCTCTGGTGTCTGTCGACCCTCCCAATCGCTTCTCCCGCATTCATCTCTCGCCTGATCCCGGTTCTGTCCGCCCATGCTCATTTCTCTCCCCCAGCCGTGCCCAGGCGCGTTTCCATTGCTCTCCCATTGTCGCCCACCGCGCGTGGGGCGGCCAACTTGGGCCCACGCAGCTCAGCTCCCTCCGCCCTTCCTGCCTCCTGGAGCCTGTTGCTCCCCATACTCTGCCGGCCTCCCCCCCCCCCCCCCCCCCCCACAGCCTCTCTACCCACCCATCTCCACGCTTCTCACCCTCTGACCGGCTCTCTCCCGCCCAGCGCTCCAACCTCTGCTCTCGTTCTCCCCGCAGCCTGGCGGCCCGGTGCGACCCCTGCACGCCCCATGCCGGCCCTCCTGCTCCTCGTACTCCTGGCCTCTAGCGCCGGCCAGGCCGGGGCGCGTCCGTCCAACGCCACGAGCGCCGAGTCCGCGGGCCCGCTGCCCGCCCTGCTGGCGCACCTGCGGCGCCTGACCGGGGCGCTGACGGGTGGCGGGGGCGCAGCAAGCCCGGGCGCCAACGGCACGAGGACCGGCCCCGCGAGCGGAGCGGGCGCGGCGGCCCGGGCGCCCCCTCCCGCCGAGCTCTGCCACGGCTACTACGATGTCATGGGCCAGTACGACGCCACCTTCAACTGCAGCACCGGCTCCTACCGCTTCTGCTGCGGCACCTGCCACTACCGCTTCTGCTGCGAGCACCGTCACATGCGCCTGGCGCAGGCCTCCTGCTCCAACTACGACACGCCGCGCTGGGCCACTACGCCGCCGCCGCTGGCCGGGGGCGCCGGGGGCGCTGGGGGTGCGGGCGGGGGGCCAGGGCCCGGCCAGGCCGGGTGGTTGGAAGGGGGCCGGACGGGGGGTGCCGGGGGCCGCGGGGGCGAGGGCCCCGGTGGCAGCACAGCCTACGTCGTGTGCGGGGTCATCAGCTTCGCCCTGGCCGTGGGTGTCGGCGCCAAAGTGGCCTTCAGCAAGGCGTCCCGTGCGCCCCGGGCGCACCGGGAGATCAACGTGCCCAGGTGCGTGTGTGCTCAGGGGCGGGAGGACTGCGAGCCTGGGGCGGGGCCCAGCAAGGGAGGTGGAGCCATCCGAGGAGGAGGGGCTACAGGGATAGGGCGTCGTCAGAGACCCAGGTGGCGGCCTCCGGCGGAGCTGAAGGTGGGCAGGGGCTGAGAAAGCCGTGCCAGAGCCGACCCGGCTATTGCGGAGTGATGCAGGGAGCGGGAGAAGCTCAGGCTCTCATTCATTCGACACATATTTCTTGAGTATCTTCTGTGGGCCAGGAGCTGGGGATACAGGAGTGAACAAAACAAGGTCTCTGCCATGGTGGAAAAGCCTAACTTCCAAATCCAAGTTCACGGCCCACAGGCTGTGTGCCAGTGGACGGGTTACTTAACCTCTCTGTGCCTCAGTTTCCCGTCCGCACAATGAGACTAATCATCGTCCCCACCTATTCGGATTGTAATTAACTGAGTTGATTCGTGCATAGTCCTGGCACACCGTAAGTGCTCATTAAATATCAGCGGCCCAGTCCGTAAGCAGGCAAATGCATGTGCTGTATAATTTTAGATGACTGCTGTGAAGAAAATCAGCGGAAAGTGTGGAGGGAGAGGGCGCTGGATTAGAGGAAGTGATCCGAAAAGGCCTCTGAGCAGAGACCCAAAGGGAGGGAGCCAGCCACGCAGGGATCTGTGGGCGAGAGGTTTAGGGCAGGGGAACTGCGTGCAAAGGCCCTCGGTGGCCTGCAGGGCAGGGAAGTGCCCGTGCAGCTGGGGGCGGTGGGCAGCAGGAGGTGAGGAGAAGCAGGTGGGCCCGGGTTTATTCTAAGTGTGATGGGGCCACTGCAGGGTCCTGAGCTCAGGCGTGATGCCATCTGTCCATTTTAAAATTATGCGAGCTGCGCGTGAGACTGTGTTGTAGGGGGCTAGGGTGGGAGGGGGGAGACCCGTGAAGGGGCTGTTGCAATGATCCAGGTGAGAGATTTCAGAGGTGGTGAGTAGTGGTCCGATTTGGGATATGTTTTGGAGGTTCGATCCGTAGGATTACTGAAAGGGATGAAGTGGGGGGAAAAAGAAGAGTCAAGGTGATTTAATGTTTGAGGTCCGCATCACTGGGAAAATGGAGCACCCTTTGTTGCCATGGGGAAGGCTGCAAAAGGAACGGGAATGGGGTCCCAGATTCAGGGTGGGGTGAGCCCACAGGGAAGTGAGAGGGACCACAGAAGGGGTGGGGTCCACACGAGTTAAGGCAGCAGCGCTTCAAGCAGGAAGCGTGGCCCGAGAAAGGGGGTCGTTCGAGGGGGCGTGGCCAACGAGAAACGGGAGTGGCCAATGGCGAAAAAAGCAGGCTGAGTGACAGGTTACCCAAGGGCGACAGCAGGGAGCGGAACGAAGCCTGGGCCCTCCCTGTACCCCTGCCGCCCCTAGACCCCAGGCCGCTGACCACCTCTCTGCCACCTTTAGAGCTCTGGTGGACATTCTGAGACATCAGGCGGGGCCTGGGACCCGCCCGGACCGGGCCCGAAGCAGCTCCCTGACCCCGGGGATCGGCGGTCCCGACAGCATGCCCCCCAGGACGCCCAAGAACCTCTACAACACCGTGAAGACCCCCAACCTTGGTGAGTGGAACGGGGGATCCGGCGCAGCCTCCGTCTCTGGCCACGCCCCCTCGTCCTGTAGCCCCGCCCCCCATGGCGGCTCCACCCCCATCACCCCGGACCCGCCCTCACCCCCTACGCCCGCCTGGCACCGCCGAGTCCTGCGAAAGGCGGACGGGGGCTGGGAACTCCGTAGAGACCCAGACCTTCTCCTTGCCCTCCTGTGGGCTCCCGTGGGGGGACTCCATGGGCACCTTGGTGATGTAGGTTTAGACTTTTTCAAGCCCCTGCGCTCAGTGTCAGACCACCCGACAGCCAACTACACACAAGGGCTCAACTACCAAATTCGAATTTGTCAAGAGCCAGACAGACTGGGTTTAAATCCTGACTCTGCCACTGTGTGACCCGGGTCAAGTGACTTCACCTCTGTGGGCCTCAGTTTCTCCATCCGTAAAATGAGAAGCATGACAGTACTCACTTGATGGGGTAATTGTGAAGAGCAAATGAATTGGTGAGACAGGTGTTTAGAATAATGTGTAACACAGGCAAAAATACCATATATAATTATATCTTTACAATAGGATATATCACATTTAATATATATTACTTAAATATGATCTATATCACTATAATTTATGATGAGTGCATCAGTGGAGAAGTCCAAGGAGCTGTCAGGGGACGGAGAAGATGTGGTCTGGTTTGGGGGCAGGAGGGCTTCTCCAAGGAAGAGGTATTTATTTGAGCAAAGGCCTGCAGGAGGAGAGGAGTTACTGGGGCTGGGAAGCTCTGGGTAGCAGAGCTTGTGAGGTGGCCAGACTTGAGGACAGGGAGAGGGTGGTTGGTGACCTCAAAGAGGGCCTTGAGTGCCAGGCTGGTCTGAGGAGCTCTGCCTCTGTCCTGAGGGTGATGGAGAGCTGCAGAGGAGTTTGAGCAGAGGAACAACACAGTCAGCAGTGGGTGGAGGAACTGGTCCTCTGGAACCCATGCAAAGGGGAGAGATGAGAGGAAGGAGGCCCAGGAGGAGGCTGGGATGATGGTCCAGGCAGCAAGAGGACGAGGATGGAGCTGGGGTCAGGGGTGGACAGGAGAAGAGACATTTGAGCTGGATCTTGAGGCAGATAGGAAGAAGGGCTTCAAGGCAGTGAGAACAGCATGGTGGCATGTGCAAAGGCCCTGTGGCAGGACCACACTGGGCTCACTGGAAAGAGCAATGTGGCTTGAGGGAAAGGATGGGAGATGGGGCTGCAGACATCCAGTGGGTCCAGGTTTTGAAGCCTCAAACACCATTCCTGGGTTCAACTTTGTCCCGTGGGTGATGGCAAGCCATGGGAAGGCTCTTGAGCAGTGGAAGGGCAGTTGTTTTGGTGAGGCTGATCATGGAGATGGATGGGCTGGATGGCCAGAGGCTGCTCTGGCAATCCAGGAGGGAGAGGACACATCAGGGCAGAGATTCAGATATCAGGAGGAACCAAGAGGACATGGGTGGGAGGTGAAGAGAGGTAGCAAGGTGACCCCCTCAGATCTCTAGCCTGGGCGCCAGGGAGGGGGGTGCTAGGAGCTTGGGACAGACCACTAACCCATCCTTGAGCCTGTGCCCACTCTTTCCACCTTCAAGACCCCCAGCCTCAGTTCATGTGGCCAATGGCATGGGTTGATCTGTGGAGCTCTAACGAGGTCCTGCATGTGGGGCCAACCTTGGGGCCAGAGTCCTTCCCAGAGATCAGGGCCGCGGTGCCAGCTGGGGGTCAGCGATGGCAGTGACGTCACCTCCCTTCTCGGTCCCCCCAGATAATCTGCACCACAACTACCTGCACCTCAACGTCAACAGCCCCAAGCACCACGCCGCCACCCTGGGTACGGATGAGGGGCTGGCTGCGGGAAAGAGCAGGGCTCCTTCCCTTCCCCCTTTGTGTTGGGCCAGCTATGCCAGGTGCCTGGTATAGAGCAGGAGCGAGACCACTGTGAGCTCAGTCCTCATGGCACTCATGGTCTGGCTAGGTCACCAAGTGAACCTGTCTCCTCGTGTGGACGTCGAAAGTGGTCATCTAGGCCGGGCGCGGTGGCTCAAGCCTGTAATCCCAGCACTTTGGGAGGCCGAGACGGGCGGATCACGAGGTCAAGAGATCGAGACCATCCTGGCTAACACGGTGAAACCCCGTCTCTACTAAAAAATACAAAAAAACTAGCCGGGCGAGGTGG